CCCATTTCTAATGGCAAAGTGGCGTTCCGTCTAATCTAATAAATTTTAAATATGATGTTGTACTTGACTTGTTGACCAAAAGTGTTCATGGGACCAATTCAATTCTATAGCTAGTTTTTAAAATACAGGGTGTTAAAGTCGAGAAATCGTATTTCTTGAAACTACGTAACTTAATTAAAAAGAAAAAATAAGCATTTTTAGTTGATTGTAGCATTAATATGTCCTAGTCTAACACAAATGTACACATAAATAGTTCAAAATGTAAACATATACAGGATGGTACTCAGTTACATCAGGGGGAATTTTTGAAATTCTGAGAGATTCTGATATGGAATGAAAACATGGTCAAAAATAATAAATAAATAAAAACATAATGTTTGCTGTTCTGACATTATATAAACCCATTTTACATTATATGTATACAGGGTGATTGTTAATTCATTCCAGAGAAAGGCGTTTCTTAAAAAAAAATTACACTCTGTATATATCCTGCTAGATATGAGCTCGCATGGTATTTGGCAAGACCATTCCATGAATAGAAAAATCAATTCAATTAAACTTTATTTTTTTTTTTGTATTTTTCTGGAGTTGATTTTTCAATCACCCTTACTATTTCTGCCTCGCAAATATTAATAAATCTCGATATACTTATTGAAATATTACGAGGAATATTGATTGCTGTTTAATTAGGTTTTTGACCTTTACAATTGTCAAAATGATGTGACGCTTGATAAACGAACAATAAATCCCAGCGTTGCTACGGTAACGTAATTTATCCGATATTTTTATCCACTTGCATTTCTGTTTCTTCCTATTTAGCCGATAGTAAACTACGATTTTTGTACTCACAAATGGGAATTATTATACCTACATACATGAGTGGATATGTCTGATATTTAATATGGTTCACTATATATTGGAATCTCAAAAACGGATCATACTAAAATTATGAAATTATATGAAGTTATTATTTGTTTAAAGCTAATAACAAAAATAAATAGTTCGTACATTTTGACGGATCGAATTGAAAAATATAGGGTGATTCTGAAAAATGAATATTTCTTTAATTTTTGCTGCATAGAAAACGAATTATATGTGTCTATCACCATGTATTCCATAAAAAAGTATTGTTTTCTAGGTATTAAATGTATAATCAATATTAATAACAAATTCCCTAATATACAGAGTGTAATTTTTATTTTTAAGAAACGTCTTTCTGTAGAATGAATTAACAATCACCCAATATACATATAATGTAAAATGGGTTTATATAATGTCGGAACAGTAAACATTATGGGTCCTATGATTGAACGTAACGTACATGTTAGGCCGAGTTTTAACAGTAACAAGGCAAGTTCGTACGATGGAAAACTTTTTCCAACACATTACTGTTATTTTCCGCCTATTATGTTCTTATTTAACAGTTTTCTATCATACGAACTTGCCTCGTTACTTTTAAAATTCGGCCTAACATGTACGTTACGGATAACGTAAACGTTCAATCATAGCACCCTATGTAAGTTTTTATTTTTGACCATGTTTTCATTCCATATCAGAATCTTTCAGAATTTCAAAAATTCCCCCTGATGTAACTGAGTACCACCCTGTATATGTTTACATTCTGAACTATTTATGTGTACGTTTGCGTTAGACTAGGACATATTAATGCTACAATTAACTAAAAATGCTTATTTTTTTCTTTTTAATTAAGTTACGTAGTTTCAAGAAATACGATTTCTCAACTTTAACACCCAGTATTTTTAAAACTAGTCATAGAATTGAATTGGTCCCATAAACACTTTTGGTCAACAAGTCGAGTACAACATCATATTCAAAATTTATTACATTTGATGGAACGCCACTTTGCCATTAGAAAAGGGCGGGGTCCTTTGTGACTTATGGTAACATCGGATAACATGGTAAAATAATTGCTGACTTAATACACAATAGATTTATTTTTATAAATATAGGAAATATTTAAAAAGATGAATAATTTCGCAAATTTTTTAGGTGACCCGTTTTCTCTGACTGTAGTTAGTTCAAGGATTTGTTTTGACAATCTTGCTAAACATTAATTTAAGTTATTTTAAAGAGACACTCTGTATTTGCAAGTATTAAAATATGTGACAGCCGGTACATAATAAATAAACCTTTTCAGTATATGACAGATACAATCCTAGTAGAGAAACCAATCAAGTTCTAATCCCGTGAAAATTGTTTACTTTGTATGGTGAACGATTTCCGTGAAAAATATTAGTTTTCGGTGTGCCCCAATAACGACGAACAAACAATGAAAAACACTATCGATAATCTTTGAAGCATCGGAGTTGTCCGACATCCAGTTCATAGCAAAGTTTGAGGGAAGTTTTGCGGCCGTCGAAGAACAAAGGGCATCAAAAGTTTTGCGTCAGTAAAGCCGCCATTTATGCACTCTTCAGATTACTGGCTTCATATACAAAATTTATTACTTGAAATTTACGAGCAAACTTTCGATCGTCTTTTGTTTTCCTTAGCTCGGTTTCTTATTTTTAATTTATTCTGTTTTATGCACCTAAATTGGTTAAGAGCGTTTTTTGATTTTGATTAACCTGGGAAAGTTTTATGTAATTTTAAATTTTGAGAGGGATGCTTTACCGAACTATCGTAGTTTTGCAAGTTTCGATCGTTTAGGTCAGTGGTGGTTCCTGATCTTATTTATGAGAAGGCCATAAGGTCATTTGAAATTTAAAAAAATAAATAATTAATATAAATCGTAGAGATTATTCAACTGCTCAAATTTTACCATTTTCATGAGCGAAAATAAAAATAATTTGAAAATTCGGAAACAAATCCCAAAAATCCCCATACGAATTGTTAAGACCATCCCCGAACCTCAAAGGTGAAAACAAATACTTGGAGATTCAAAAAAGCCTGTCGTCGCTGAGATTTGAACCCAGACATCTTTTAGACATCTTTTAGATATCTTTTAGACATCTTTAAGACATCTTTTAGACATCTTTTAGACATCTTTTAGACATCTTTTAGACATCTTTTAGACATCTTTAAGACATCTTTAAGACATCTTTTAGACATCTTTTAGACATCTTTTAGACATCTTTTAGACATCTTTTAGACATCTTTTAGACATCTTTTAGACATCTTTTAGACATCTTTTAGACATCTTTTAGACACCTTTTAGACATCTTTTAGAACAAAATGTATATTCTAGCTTAGAAAAATTCGGTTATAAAGTAGTAGAATTGGCGCTTATTGTGGCTCCACTACCGCTGCCACCCGGTAGCTACGCATCTGCAACAGATCCGTGCAAAAGTGGGCCCGCTTTAAAGCACGCTATTTTTACCACCATTTTGTGCGTGGCACGTATATTATGACGTGGCAGTTAAATTCGTTTGGTCAGGTCACAAGAATAAATAATAACCAGAAGGATATCTCCAATCACGTGATCTTCGAGGGCTCGTGACCTTCAAGCACACCTACACCGATATTCTACACCGAAACTTTCAGTGCAGTAGCGACCGGCACGGGCGGTGGTGTCGAAATCGTGAATTTATAATTATTATTCTGTTGTTTCTGTTATTTTGCTTAAATATTTTTATCGTTGACTATTTTCTGATTTTGTTGTGCTTTAATGACAGTGTGAGTTATGGAAGAAGACAAAAAAAAGAGCTGGATTTGTAGTTATAAAGACTGCAAAAATAAAACTTATATCGGTACACATTCATTTTACAGATTTCCTTAAGATGTTTAAAGGTAATATAAATAAAGTATAATATATAAGTCAAATACAGGGTGTTTTAAATTAGCTGTTACTTCGGGATATTATTATACACAAAAATGTAATAGATACGTTTCAAAGTATTTGTAGAAATACAAGTTTTTCACATCCATGTGAAAAATTTCCACATAATTATTTAATAAAATTATTCGGTAGAGTAAGATTATTTTATACTCTTAAATGTAATAACCGAAATTTTAAAACTATAAAAGACAAAAAGGTTTTCATTTGGAAAGATAAGTAAATATTTTTTTATATATATAAATCTTTTACTTACCTATATTTGTAATGTATGAACTTCAAAAATAAATCAATAGCTACCTAATATTTTTTTTATTTTCCTGACCTTTTCTTCGGTGCGCCTATGGAATACAAGTATTAACTAAAAGACGAGGTCATAGCTCGTCGGCATCAACTACAAAGGAATTAAATGAGAGATATCCTTCTGGTTATTATTTATTATTGTGGTCAGGTCACTCTGACTGAGAGCCTTTGATCCAACGTTGCCACATGTAGTATATTTCTACCTTTTTGGCAGTTTTTCAGCTTTACAATTTATTTTTGGTAGATTTTAGTAATTTTCTATAAATGAATAAAAACAATCCAATTACTCAAATAATAAAATTTCCTATTTAAATAATTTCGTTGCTAAAAATGATTGCTAAAAACGTTAGGTTATTACTAGGGTCGGATGATTATCAAAATAAATAATCGTTCTTCGATTATTTAAATTAATCGGTTATTTTCGATTAATCTATTCTTTCTGATTAATCGATTCAGAAGCGCCACAAGGGAGGTGATCTAATTTTAAGTTTTTGCATATTAAACTTAATTTACGCGGCTTTATTTTATTTATATTCTTTAAATCATGATAATATGCTAAGATGTCATCAATTTAAATTGAAAAAATTTTTAACAGGCAAGTTTTTTAACAAACAGGATCTTTGAAGTATGGAATAGATTTCCCAAAGATGTTATCGATAAATATGTTTAAAATATATTAAACTTTTCTATGAACAATAAATTATTTTCAAATAATATTAATTTACCTATTCTATAGTCATTGTAAATTGTTGGACTACATAGAGCCTCATAGCTTTTAATTGTGTTTAATAATAAAAATAAAAAAATAAAAAGTCTGTTATTCAGTATTTGCTAAATACCGGTAAAAGCCATAACACTTTAACCGGAAAAAGTTAGATACATCTAAACTCGATATAATTACCTTGCCAAAGCTGGTGAGGCCGCCGTGTTCCGGTTTTTTTCCCGGCAAATCTGCATGGGAACAATCGGCCCTGAAACATACAACAAACGAAAAATGAAAATGAAATAAAAAACGAACAAAAAGTCGGCGCAGTTTTGAATTTAAATGGATTTCGCCGCATATATTAGCTTTGTAACAAAGGGAAAATGTATAATTTTTAAGTTGCAAATGCATTTGTGTGTACGCTAGGTTGCTGGTAAACTCTAAGATGTGGGAAACTAAATAAATCTATAAACTAATTAATTTGCGGCGATACAATAATTGACTTTTTATAACACTAATAAATAGTGGAGAAAGATGGGACTCAAAATCAGTATCACAAAATGTTGAAAATACTAAAATACTTCGGTATTTTCAGGCCTGATACAAAATTAAACCTTTTCCGTCTATGATAAGATAATCTTACCTATAAAATGCGTATTTATTCATGTATTTTGGCACACTACACATTTCCTCATCAGCTGAAACCTCTATTAAACAGTTCAATAACCAAATTATAAAGAAAAATCGGAATATAAGTTCACACTTGACTATGTCAACAAATTAGCTTACATAGTTCTAGGCTGTCGAACTTAAGGAGGTCCTTTCGCCACACCTCTCGCCTCAAATGTTAAAAAAAAGTTATTAGATTATGACTAAAATTAATTTTTTTCTAATAGTTGAAGTCCTTATTTATCTAATACTGAACTTTTAACTATACCTTACCTTGCAAATTTTTGAGAATTTTTTTTTTAAAAATGTGAGTATTTGTACAGTGCCTCACGAGAAAGTAAGTCCTCAACAACAATTCTCGAATTATACTATTATTTATTGATTAGATGGAGTAGAAAAAAACTAAAAATAAGGTTTTTGAAATAAACTACGCCGCAGATGAAGTGGGACAGCCAAAAAATTGCCTAATTTTGACTAGCTGTAACTTCGACATTTCTTTGCCGATGTTAGATTTTCAGCCAGAGGTGGAAAGCGCCATCCTTGCTGTTTGCGTCAGTGGCATTGAATATATATTTTTTAATAGCTTCTTGTTGTACAGGGTGTGAATGTAAGGCAGCGAAAAATGTCCGTTTTTTGGCAAAGAATTTGGAAAATGTGGGGGGCCAAATCAAGTTCTTTCTGATGTTGAGTGGATCACTAGGTCGACACCTCGGGATATCTTTGCCATTTTTTTGATACTTTGCGTTGCTATGGAAATATCGCCATTTTATGATATTCCATATTTCTTTTAGAATTAGCCTTTTTTTAATTAAAGAATAACAGATACCGACTAAACTTCATCAAGGAATAACGTGTAAAGAAAATGGTCAACACCAGCGGCGTGCAAAAAGGGGTTTATGAAATTTAAAAAACGAAAACTTGATTTTATTTGAAATTTTTAACACTTTTGGTAAGCGTTACAGTTTAAAAGGTACCATAACTGTAATGAGTTTGATTTTGACTAATTCAGAGAAATACAAAAGTAAAGCTACTCACCCTGTAAGCGCTTACTGATAGTGTCAGTAAGCAATAATAGGTACTTACCATTTTTGCATTTGTAAGTCGGGACATTTGCTTTGACGAAACTTTATTTCTGCAATTTTATCAAGAAGGCGACAAAAATATTACCATAGAGATAAGATTTTGACGTTAGATTGCATAAGTCAAAACAAAAATAAATTGCTATTGTCCAAATGGCGCGACTTACGGCTGCAGATTTGGTGAATATTTTAAGATTGCGGCAGAGAAATCACACAATAAGAGAGATTTCTGATTTTCTTAATGTCAAGAAATCATCCGTTGGAAGAGCGTTGCAGAGAGAAGGTAACAATGGTACTGCTGCTTATCGACACGGGGGAGGATCTCGAAAAAGAACTAATCCTCGTCAGGATCGAGCAGTAGTACGGACTGCAATCAGAAACAGAGTTTGGACTGCCAAGAGAATCCGAGCGCAACTGCAGTTAAACGTTTCAGCAGACACTATTAGAGTACGCCTACATGATCAGGGATTAAATGCTCGCCGTCGGCCAAAATGCCCACCTTTAACTGACATTCACCGGGCCAACAGGAGAAGATGGGCCCAAAAACATATAAATTGGGATCGTAGGTGGAGAGACTGTCTTTTCGTTGATGAAAGCTGTTTCAACCTCTACAATTCCGACGGCCGATTGCTATCTTGGCGGAGACGGGAAGAACGTTATTTAGCAGAAAATATGCGTTCCCAAGTTGCATTTGGCGGTGGTGGATTGACGGTTTGGGGCGGTATTCAACACAACGGAAGGACAGAACTCGTGGTATTTCGGGGTAATGTAAACGGCCAGGTTTACCTGAATGAATGTCTGATTCCGCTAGTTCTCCCGCATGCTCGAAATTATGGCAAGGATTTTGTTCTTATGGACGATAATGCTCGTCCTCATCGAGCATTATTAGTAAACAGATATATACAAGAGCAAAACCTTAATCGTACTGAATTGCCTCCTAGATCTCCAGACTTGAATCCTATTGAGCACGTCTGGAGCTGGATGAAGTTGGAGTTTTCCCGAAGGGAACGTCAGCCAGAAACTCTAGACGATCTCGAGGAGATGATTTTAGAGCTCTGGGAGGCAGTTCCTATGGAGCTAACTAATAACTTAATTTCGAGCATGCCAAGGCGGTATCAGGCAGTTATTCAGGTTAGAGGAGGTCCAACGCCTTACTAATTAGGTTAGGTTTATTTTAATATTCTAATGAATTCCATGTACACACTTTATAAAATAAAAACCAATAAAAAAAAACTTTTTTTTTTTTTTTGTTTGTATGCCTCTGAATTAGTCAAAATCAAACTCATTACAGTTATGACACCTTTTAAACTGTAACGCTTACCAAAAGTGTTAAAAATTTCTAATAAAATCAAGTTTTCGTTTTTTAAATTTCATAAACCCCTTTTTGCACGCCGCTGGTGTTGACCATTTTCTTTACACGTTATTCCTTGATGAAGTTTAGTCGGTATCTGTTATTCTTTAATTAAAAAAAGGCTAATTCTAAAAGAAATATGGAATTTCATAAAATGGCGATATTTCCATAGCAACGCAAAGTATCAAAAAAATGGCAAAGACATCCCGAGGTGTCGACCTAGTGATCCACTCAACATCAGAAAGAACTTGATTTGGCCCCCCACATTTTCCAAATTCTTTGCCAAAAAACGGACATTTTTCGCTGCCTTACATTCACACCCTGTACAACAAGAAGCTATTTAAAAAATATATATTCAATACCACTGACGTAAACAGCAAGGATGGCGCTTTCCACCTCTGGCTGAAAATCTAACATCGGCAAAGAAATGTCGAAGTTACAGCTAGTCAAAATTAGGCAATTTCTTGGCTGTCCCACTTCATCTGCGGCGTAGTTTATTTAGATTTTGTTTTATACAATAAAATATATACCTATAGTAAACCGTGGAACTTATTGAGAAATTAATATTAAAAAATCACAAAAAATTTTCAAGTAACCTAGTTGAAAATTTTTTGTGATTTTTTAATAATAATTTCTCAATAAATTCCACGGTAACCTATATATTTTATTCTAAAAAACAGAACCTAAATATTTCAAAAACCTTATTTTTAGTTTTTTCTACTCCATCTAATCAATAAATAATAGTAAAATTAATTATAATTCGAAAATTGTTGTTGAAGTCTTACTTTCTCATAAGACACTGTACAAACACACACATTTTTAAAAAAAAATTCTCAAAAATTTGCACGGTAAGGTATACTTAAAAGTTCACTATTAGATAAATAAGGACATCTACTATTAGAAAAAAATTAATTTTAGTCATAATCTAATATTTTTTATTTAACATTGGTGGCGAAAGGACCTCCTTAAAAGTTATAAACCAGAATCGCAAAAAATAATTTCCAAATCTACAATAGCCTAACAAGACTCTTAGGCTACTTGATCAAACCACGTGTAGAGATTAAAAGGCATGGAGTTAGAAGGTAGGGAGACGCTATCTATAAGCATCTTTTTCCAACATTCAAAACAGTATCATCGGGGGTGGCTTTTGTCAACTCAATATGACAATGAAAGAATGAAACCAATACCTACATTTTTATTATTAGTTTTTTTTTAGAAAATGTAAGTAATATACTTATATTACTTGTTATAAAACGGATTTCAGTAATTCCACTTATTGATAATGTGACGAAAGTCTAATTTATTTTTAGTTTATTTATTTAAAAACACACTATTTACAATTTATTTCAGACGTACTATTTAATTTATATAATATTTAGACACTAACAATTCTAATTTATTTCTTACACTTTAACTTTTCAATACAATGTTCTATATTAAACTAAACTCGGCGCTGATACGTCGGCTATTTATATTAGTCCAACTCCGCTACTGGAAAATGCTAGAGACTCTCGAAGATTCCGCTTTTATGACTAAACGGCACTCCCCGCCGTTCCAGCTGTTTCTAGTGCATCAGCGGCAGGCATTCCGTCGTATTCTTGTATATTCGAGACGCGGTCCGGCTGTTTCCACACGTCATCGTTGCTTCGATCACGAGTCGGTTGCCATGTTAAGGCCGCGTGCGTACACAGGGTCGGATTAGGAATTTCATGACATTGCCCCCTCCTTAAGAAATAGTTCCTCCTGGAACTAAAACTGAATGGTTATATTTGCAACTGGATCCTCATTTACAATTTCCAGTTACATGGAAGTAACAACGGACAGTCTTCGTTATAACCTGAACGTTGGGAGAATGGCTGCAGACCAGTATTTCAACCTGGGTATCTTAAAAGATTACTTCCACCATGTTTCTAATAGTCCTCCAATTCAGCTGATTGCTCTCTATCTTTGGCATAGCTAGTTTCTGTACATTGGACTCCAGTACATGCTCCCTCAGACTGAGTAATGCTTCCCATACATCCTGATAGGTGGATCGATCTCGTAAGGTGTTCTTTGTTACCAAATAGAAAAGATAACGCGATCCATATAGAAGTTTTAATGCTTTTCCAGGGGCTGGTAACTGATCTTGAAGTTCTGGCAATCGACCAAACTTCTTCCGGAATATAGATG